TGAGTTGACCTGTGTCCTGATCACTGGGACTTTGCCCTTAGCTGTACACTGGGTGGCAACTAGTTGTCCTGCCTAATAAAAGTTTTGAAATGTTGAGTGAATGGGAGAGTGCACGGAGGGGTGGGCACGGCAGCATGAGCCGCATTAAGAAAGGTTCTGAAATTTACGAATGTTTTACATTTGTGTAATTTGGAACAAATTTAAGCATATGCTGCTTGCTAACTTGCAATCTCTTGTGATTTATTATGTCGGAGAGATAGAGATGGAGTGCCAGGAATTATACCTAGCTCCGGACATGCCCATCAAGGGTGTGTCCAATCCACCATGGGCCTAGAACTGGGGTGCATGGGCATGGACAGCATTAAAGGAATCAGTTTCCAGATCCTCAGCTTCTGCAGGTACTCCCTCTTGCCTAAATTGTTTCCCTTTTTCACACCTCTGTCCATCCTGAATCTTTCTAGGGTGTGTTGTCCAAAAGGACAACTGGAGAATGCTCTGATCTTAAGAGAGAGCAGGCAAAGAGAGATTGAGTAAGATAAACAGAAGGGAGCTGTGACTCAATACAGATTCATAATATTTATTTTATTTAAAAATACTTGTTTAGGACCCAGTGTGGTGGCTCATGCCTGTAATTCCAGCATGTTAGGAGGCTGAAGTGGGAGGGTCACTTGAGGCCAAGAGTTTGAGACCAGCCTGGGCAACACATTGAGATTCTGTCACTACAAAAACTAAAAAAAAAAATTGGCCAGCTGTGGTGGTGAGCTCGTGTAATCCTAGCTACTTGGGAGGCCGAGGTGGGAGGATTGCTTGAGCCCTGGAGTTCTAGGTTACAGTCAGCAACGATTATGCCACTGCATTACGGTTTGCGCGACAGAGTGAAATTTGTCTCTAAAAAATTTTTTTTAAATACTTGTTTAATGCTAATTATGTGCCAGATAGTGTTGTAAGGGTTTTATAGATCATAAATTAATGTAATACTCATACTGAATTTATAAAGTAATACTTACCATCCTCCTTTTACAGAAGAGGTTCCCAAAGCACCAAGAGGTTTAATAAGTTGCCCAAGGTCCCAGAGGCATGAAGTGGTGAAATCTGAATTTGAACTCAAGCACCTTTGAATTCCTCTAGAACTCATGCTCTTAGCCATTATGCTACTCTACATTAAACTTAGGTGCTTTAGCTCTTTATCTAAGTATTGTAAAATTAGAATTGAGACATGAGCCAGTTGTCATGGGGATGCAAAGTAACACATGTATAGAACTTTTAAAAGATGAAGCTGGATTTTCTTACAGACAGAAAATCAGTCTGATTTGGCTGATTGGTTTGACAGTGAGGACTGGCTTTGCTAACAGGATTATATGGTAGACATTTTCCATAAACTGAACAAGCTAAATCTGTAGCTCCAAGGTTTGGGTGGAAATATATATAAAGCATATCTCTATCAAAGACTATGCCAGAAAATTTGGTCTTGGAACCGATTTTAACTTGTAAAAATAGTTTTAGTTATTAACTTAAAAATGTGTGAGAGGGGACGTAGCTTCTTCAAAATTCTTTTAGGGGTTCAATAAAAAAAAATGTGAAGACTTCTGGTGTATGGTACACGCAAACATCACCAGCCATGTGCTTACTGGGGATGAGATTCCTGATTAGGTGAGGTGAAGTGACTGGTCCATAGGCAAGCAGGGGCAGAATTGGAGCAAGAGCCAGGGCTTTCTGACTCCTGTAATGCCAGAGCTCTTTTCATTATTTCATACTTCCTCCTTGCTTCCTTCCTTCCTTCTTCGTTCATTTGATGGTTCATTCAGCAAACACTTACTGGGCCCCTATTCTCTGCTAGGCACTATGGTGGATGCTGGGGTACAGATGGAACATAAACTAAACATTTCCTACTTTTCTGGAGCTTATAGTCTAGTAGGAAGAGACAGAGAATATGTAAACTAGATATTTTTAGATAGTGATAAGTGCTGGGAGCAAATAAGCAAGGAAGTGTGATAGAATATCCGGGCGTGGAAGAAGGCGTGGGCAGGGAAGACTTCCCAGGGTGGTGCTGTGGGTGACGAAGGAGCCAGTCTTGTGTGTGTGTATGTGTTGGAGTTGGGGCTGGGAAGACCAGGTAGAAGGAACAACAAGTGCAAAGACCTGGAGGCAGGACAGAGTTTGGTGTGTTCCAGGAATAGAAAGAAGTCCTTGTGGCTGTAGCAGGGAGATGTTGGGGGTGAGTGGTAGAAGCTGAATTCCATAAAGAAGGCAGGAGCTAGTTCATGCAGGATCTTATCAGCTATGATAAGGATCTTGTATTTATCTAAAAGACAGTCGGAAACCATTGTAGGATTGTAAAAAGAGAGTTGATACATTCTGACTTGCAGTTTTGTTTTGTTTTGTTTTGGAGGGAGAGGCAGGAGTAAAAACAGAGGTGGAGGCTGATGTAGGAGGCTATTTCGGGTGAGACATTTGCAATCTATGGAAGGATACAAAGGTGAACACTATTAATGGAAAGTCAGAATGGTATGAGATGTCATTCTGTCTTCTGGTTCTGATGAGGTGTGTTGGTAGCTATTGCTGTATAACAAATCCCTCCAAAATTTAGTGACTTAAAACCACCACCATCTTATTTTGTCATGATTCTGTGGGTCAGAAATTTGGGAAGGGCTCAGCTGAGCAGTTCTCCTGCTCCAAGTAGTATCAGCTGGGGTCATTTACTTGGCTATATTCAGCTGGAGGATGAGGTAGGCTGGAAGGCCAAGAAAGTTTCATTCACAGGTCTGGCCCCTTGGTGCTCTTCTACATGGCTTCTCTGTCCATGTGGGTAGCCTGGACTTCCTCATAGCATGGTGGCCTCCAGATAGTCAACCTTCTTACACAAAGTCAGGCTTCAAAGAGGGAGCATTCCCAAAGGAGCAAAAGGGAGGGCTGCATATCTCTACAGTCTGGCCTTGGCAAGTACTCAGCACTACTTCTGCCACGTCATGTAGGTCAAAACCAGTCACAGGGCTGGCCTAGATTTAAGGAGAGGGGAAACAAACCCTATCTCTCAGTGGAAGAAATGGCAAATTATATGTTCCATCTTTAGTCTACCACACCAGCCTTCTGGAAACTGAATAGCCATAACCACCCTGATGGTGCTGACCCACTTTTAAATCTAAATCACAGTATACTATGTTGGGACAATTTATAGGTCTTTATTCCCCACTGAATAGGGAGGGTCTGGAACAGGAGGTGGTTTCTTCTCCTTCTTCTTCTTTTTTTTTTTCTGTGTGTTCCCAGAGCCTAACACATACAAGGCATTCAGGGAATGCTTACCCATGAATGCACAGATCACATAAGCATTCATTGGTTATCAAAACATGGTGTGCATAAGAATCCCCTGGGAGCTGTTAAAAATTCATGTGAATTCCTGGGCAAAACCTGAGCCCAGACTCTTTGCATTCAAATCTCTATGGCAGAAAGTTTTAGTCGTGGCTGCATTATTACAATATATCAGTGCCAGGCCCAAGCCCCAGAGACCCTGATTCCATGGATCTGGGATGAGCTTGGATGATTCTGATGTATGGCTGGGGTTAAGAACCACTGCCTTAGGATTAGAACCAGCCTTCATTGTCTAACATATCACATGATTGTGATATAGGTGGTCCATGATAGGGTGACCAACTATCCTTGATTTGCCCTGATTTTAGCACTGAAAGTCCTATATCCCAAGAAACTCCTAGTCCTGTGCAAGCTAGAACAGTTGGTCATTATCAATGGATCACTATTGAAAAAATATTCTAGATGAGGCAGTGAAAGACTTTTTGGAAAAATACCTACAAGTATTGAATGAAAGCAATGATTTTGTCTCTTTACTTAGGGGACTGAGCCAATCGTCCTTGAATTGAGGAGGAGGCGGCTCAGGGTCGTGTTTTCCTTCAGCTCTGTGCTCTGGTGTGCTGGGTCTGTTAACTCACCTCAGCCCTGTGTTTGTCTTTGGGAATTCTTTCAGACTGCATCCCTTAGGGCACAGGACACAGCTCCAAAAGCTCAATCACAATCAACAAGGATGAGGTGTTGAGAATAGTACAAGATCCAGGATGTGCCAGGTGCGGTGGCTGATGCCTATGATCCCAGTGCTTTGGGAGGCTGAGGTAGGAGGATCACTTGAGCCCAGGAGTTTGAGACCAGCCTGGGCAACATAGCAAGAGCTCATCTCTACAAAAACTAAGAAAAATTAGCAGGGTATGGTGGTATGTGCCTGTAGTCCCAGCTACTAGGAAGGATGAGGCAGGAGGATCACTTGAACCCAGGAGTTTTAGAGGCTGCAGTGAGGTATGATCAGGCCACTGCACTCTAGCCTTTTTTTTTTTTTTTTGAGACAGAGTCTCACTTTGTTGTCCAGGCTAGAGTGAGTGCCGTGGCGTCAGCCTAGCTCACAGCAACCTCAAACTCCTGGGCTCAAGCAATCCTCCTGCCTCAGCCTCCCGAGTAGCTGGGACTACAGGCATGCGCCACCATGCCCGGCTAATTTTTTTTTTTTTTGAGACAGAGTCTCACTTTGTTGCCCAGGCTAGAGTGAGTGCCGTGGCGTCAGCCTGGCTCACAGCAACCTCAAACTCCTGGGTTCAAGCAATCCTGCTGCCTCAGCCTCCTGAGTAGCTGGGACTACAGGCATGCGCCACTATGCCCGGCTAATTTTTTTTTCTATATATATTAGTTGGCCAATTAATTTTCTTTCTATTTATAGTAGAGACGGGGTCTCACTCTTGCTCAGGCTGGTTTCGAACTCCTGACCATGAGCAATCTGCCCACCTCGGCCTCCCAGAGTGCTAGGATTACAGGCGTGAGCCACCACGCCCGGCCTAATTTTTTGTATATATATTTTTGGTTGGTCAATTAATTTCTTTCTATTTATAATAGAGACGGGGTCTCGCTCTTGCTCAGGCTAGTTTCGAACTCCTGACCTTGAGCAATCCTCCCGCCTCAGCCTCCCAGAGTGCTAGGATTACAGGGGTGAGCCACCGTGTCCGGCCTTGCACTCTAGCTTGAGTGACAGAGTGAAACTCTGTCTCACCAAAGGGGGAAAAAAAATGGAAAACAGAAAGAGACCTAGGATGTAATTTCTTTGTCTTCTACCCCAGTGTACATTATCATTACTATTATTACTATTATACAAGGGTACATAAATATATGTCATATGTTAAATAGCTCTGTGGGCAGGTCATGTGGCATGGTAGAGAGCCCAGGTTCTAGTCTCAGATTACTGGGTTTTACCCTGGCTCTGCAGTCACTAGGTATGTGATCATGGATGCCCTTGCTGCCTCAGTTGTTCCTCTGTAAAATGGGAACAATAATGATGTCTTCTTCACAGGGCAGATAGAAGGATCCACCAAGATCAAATAAGTGAGAGTGGTTCTATAGAATGGAAAGGGGAGGTATGGTGATTGTCTTTGGATGGGAAGGTCCCAAAGAAACTCTCCTGCTGAGAGGCCCCCTACCCTGAACCACAGCCCATCGGTGAGGTTCCAAGGAAGAAGCTTTTACTTCAGAGCGGGCCATGGCGAGACCTCAGGAGACACAGTGTCCCTACCTTAGTTGTCCTCGATATTGAGGGCAAATGTGCTTTGCTTCAGAGAAAAGGAAAACTTTTGGGGATGAGGGTCTGTGAAGGCATTTTTTGTTTTTAAATCTTTGCCTATTTATTCCAAGTGTATCCGCAGAGATGTAGCAAAAAGAAAACAACCACAACCACAAACCCATAATATTGAAAAGCCAGTTCTTAATTTCTGTAGCTAAAAAAGCATCCTTTCAGGCTATAACCACAAAGAGGTTGCTGCAGGCCTCTGGAACGGGCATAATGACGGTCTGCAGCGAGATGAAGGAGGCTGTTAATCTCTGTGGCCCAGCAGCCCAATCCGGCCTCTCCAATTACCCAGGTTGCCTAGCAACACCACCAAAAGCCTTCCCACCAGGCCAGCTGTGGGCAATTGGCCCCACCCAGCACAGCCTGCTGCCCAGCCTCCCAGGCTCCTCCACCACATCAAGGCTGGACTTGGCCCTGCAGGGGCCCGCCTGGTACTGATGAATGGGTGGGGCCAGCTGTTTAAAAAAAACATTCAGATATTCAGAACTTACTTGTCTGGATGCAGCTAGGAAAGCAGCGCAACCTAATGACGAAAAGTTTCTACCAAAGAGGAGTTGTCCCAAGGGTGTTGGCCTTGTCAGTGCCCTCCTGGGTGAGGTGAAGAAGGGAAGGTGAGCCTGACTCAGTCCTCCGGGTTCTCAGGAGGCAAGTCCTTTCCTATCCTGGACACTTGTCTCCATCTGGACTCCCTTCGGGAGAGATGGAGACGGTGGGAATTCCCAGCCCCGTCCTTCCTTCCCCAGGGGTAATGACCTGCCAATTCTTCTATGGCTTCCTTTTGGGAATTCCCAGGGTCTAGTCTGGGTCTCTCTGGGCAGCTGGAGGAAGAAGAGGGAGATAAGGGGGGAAAAAAGGATGGGATGAAAATAACCAAAGAGAAGACAAGCATTTCCATAACACTTGGTGCTTAGAAATCGCAGGGGCAGCAGAACACGCAGGGGCTTTGGAGTCAGCGCCTTGGTCTCTTCTCCCAGCCCTCACTTTGCCGGCCACGGGAACTTGAGCAAGTTATTCTGGGAGCCTGAGTGTCTTTGTTCATAAAATAGGAATGTTATTGGCCTACCTTGCAAAGTTGTGAAAATTAATGAAGAGAATGTGCACGAAGGGTTCAAGCATGGAGTACACATAGTAAGTGTGGTGTGCTTATTATGGTAGCCCTTATGATTTCTTTTGATTCTTAGAACAATTCTGTAAGATACTTAGGGTAGGAGTGAGTTATATTTTACAGCTGAGAAAACTGAGGCCCAACGAAACCAAATGTGGATGCTAGGAGCAAACTCAGGTCTTTACAGTGCCAAACACAAGGAATGGTGCTCCTCACGGGCAGGTGACAAGCCCTTTTTGGTAGCCATTACAACATGGTGGCTCCATAGGTCTCTGATAACTCACTGATGGTGGAATGACAACAGATCGGTACAGATGTGCAGAGGAAAAAGTTGGTAGGAGGTGCTTTTCAACATGAAGTGATATGAAGACTTAGTCAACGTGGTGTGGTTAGAATCCTTCCCTCCTTCCCTTTTCCTCTCTTCCTCCCTCCCTCCCTCCCTTCCTTCCTTCTTTCCAGTATTTTTTAAAATAACTTTTTATTTTGGAAGAATTTTAGATTTATAGAAAAATTGCAAAGGTAGTGCAGAGGGTTTCCATAAACCCTTTATGCAGATACAAGTATTTTTTGAACAGTTACTATGTGCTGGGAACGGTTCTGGGTGCAAAGAATATAGCAGTCTCTGCCCTCCATGGGAGGATCACAGAGCTCGTGAACTGGAGCCAGCCTTGGAGATCCTTAGATTGTGGTTCTCAAAGGTGCTGCTGCCTCTGCTTCTTCTGGTCTACTTGTCAGAGATTTACTAACCCTGCTCAATTAGTATCTTTGGGAATAGGGCCTGGAAATCTATCTCAATACAAATGTTGACAAACAGATGCCTCAGGGGGTTCTAAGGCATAGCCAGTTAGGACAATTCCTGGTGTGGCCAAGATGCTCACTGTGCAGGTGAGAGAACTGTGGCTCAGGGGCAGGAGGGAACTTGCCCCTGGTCACACAGCCAGGAAGTGGCAGTCTAGACCAGAGGACAGACCTGGTTCTGTGCTCTTTCACTGTGTCTCCCAAATGCACCATGAGAAGTGAGTTTGACTCACAACAGGAAGAGTTTGGAGAGAGTTTAGAAGAGTTTCTTGGCAATTTAGGTCTATCAAGTCAGGTTCCTGGTCACAAGGTATGGAAAATGATTCTGGCTTATTAAATCAGGAAGTGAATTTTATTGCAACCATATTGGATAGGTTACAGAGTTACTGGGAGGTTGCCCAAACCAGGTGTGGGAAATAAGCAGAAACGGGGAGACTGGGCACCTAGAACTACACCAAAATCCCATCACAGGGCCCGGTGCATGAGGGCAGCCCCATCACTGCCGCTGCGTGCTCAGTGCTGTGGCCTTTGTCACAGACACAGCTGGTGTCAGACGCTGGATGCCACACTGACCCCAATGGCGAGGCTGTGTGGACATCAGATACTGCTGCCAACACTGCAACCACTGTAAATAATTTTTTTTTTCTCCATCCCCAGCTGTGGCCTCAAAAATCCTAAGCAAATGTAGCTGATTGGCCAAGCACAGGTCACATCCCTGGAGCCCTAGTGTCCTAGGGACCCGGAAATGTGAGTTTTGGGCATTTTTAGCATCTGTAGTTGGAAGTGTTCCCTGCTGCCCACCAACAGCAGACAAGGAATTCCCTAAGAAAACTGACAAATGATCACAACATAAATGTTAAAAGAATACCCCAGAAGTCATTGACATTTGCAGATTCAACACTTACCATTTTGATATTTTATTAGCTACCCTCAAAGGCCCACTGTGAATGAATGAGAGTTGAATGATTGGCTTTGCCAGGGCTACTGGTCCACCTGTGCATCTCACATGACTTTATTATCCTCTGCGAGTTCTAGCCTTTATGTCATTTGTCAGCAGTGATTACAACCTTTGTTTCTTATTTGAGGAATAGAAAAGACTCATAAAATAAATCACTTGACAGTGCCAGTGACAGAAATGAAAAGAAAATGAAGAGGCCTGAGAAAGTGACTTTTTTGTGTGTGTGCCATAAGTAGAAGTTTTGGATAAATTGGCACCGAATGTCAAGTTCAGTGGTGTCTGGGATCTCTGATATCAATAGATCCATGATGTCTTTCACATGGATACAGGAAAAGAGCTCTGGGAAGTTGTTTTAGCGAGAGTCAGCCAGGTCAGAGGCTGCTGTTCGAGAGTGAGATTAAATGTTACTAAAAGATGAGTAGAGACACAACTAACCAAATTTTCTTTCCTTCTTTGGGACCTTAGGTGCAAACTGTTGATTATGGTTAATACTTCTCAAATAACTAATTTTATAAGTAACTTCACTTCTGCATTTATAGAATCATTTAAGGATTGAAGTGGAATCACTTAAAATTTTCTGGCTATAGTTTACAACATAATTTTGGGAGACACTACTGAATATAGTGGATTATGGCATCTGAAAGGTCTTTAGAAAAATCCCTTGCCAATGTCAAAGGTCTCCTATGTAAATCTCTTTTTCTACAGATTTTTTTTTTTAAAGGTAGTCAACTGTTCTGGCTAAATGGCCACAGTCCTGCTCTTGCCAATCTTTGGCCAACACACTGGCTCCGTGATTCATAACACAAGCAGTGCTTCTTCCAGGCGAGGCCAGGAAGTAGGGAAGTTCTTTGTATGTTTTCTCTTCTTAAGAAAACTTGCCAAACATGAAGGGAAGGGTTTTGGTTATTGCTGTGCAGGAGGAACTTCTCTATTTTTAGCCAGCATTCTAATAATCTCCCCCAGTTGTTCCCTACCTGTAGGATAAGAACATTGCAGGGCAGTGCCACTCAGTTTTGATCTGTGTATGTTGTGGCCTTTCAACAGAGCTGGCAACAACTTGCTGCAGATAAGAGGTAGGCTTGCTTAGTGAGTAAGAAAGCAGTCAGTGCAGTAAATACCCACTCCATGAGTGTAACCAAGAGTGACCAAGTAAATAATCGAATAGCTGTGGATGCCTTTATACCTCAATGAGACTAGACTGTGTTGTAATCATTGCCACTTGTTTTGAGACTCTTGCTCTATTTAATTGGCCCTCAAAAAATTCTAATGAAAAAAAAATTCTAATGTGTGCTTCCAGACATTGTGTCCCAACACTGACCTACAGAGCCCATAGAGTTTATATACAGGCCATGCCCAAGCAAGCACAAAATTAATGACAACGTAACCTTAGCTTAGACTTGCTTTGTGAAGCCCTAGGGAGTGAATCCTTGGACCCAGAAGCAGAAGTGCTGGTGAGCAGATTTCAGCACGGCATAAAGAAGAACTGCTTAAGAATTAGAACTGTCAGAAAATGCAACAACCCCATTGAAGTACACTTTAGGCTGTTTATAATTTTTCACTGCTATAAATAGTTCTGCATGAACATCTTTGTAATAAAGCTTTGTGTACTTGCTCAAATACATTTTTAGGATAGATTTCTAGAAGCAGGATGGTTCTGTTGAGGGGTGCATGCTTTTTATATTTTATAGATGCTGCCCAATTGCCTTCCAGAAGGCTGCATCAGTTTACACCTCAAACATTGCCCTCATTTCCACACAGCTGCATAAGTATGGGATGTTATCAGTCTTTTTCACTGTTGCTAATCTGATCAGTAATATCCAAGGTGGTAAACTGTGCTCAGAAATTCGGGAGTGGGGCGGAAGATGAACAGGAGTGGGAGAGATGGGGTGGCAGTGTCAGAGACTGGAAGGAGGTCTGTGGGCAGCACAGCACCAGGGGCTGGAGATGAGTCAGAGCCAGGCCTCTGTCCTCAGGAGTCAGGGCAAACAGACAGGTATGAAAGTTGGAGTGTGGCTGGGCGCAGTGGCTCACGCCTGTAATCCTAGCACTCTGGGAGGCCGAGGCAGGGGGATTGCTCGAGGTCAGGAGTTCAAAACCAGCTCTGAGCAAGAGCGAGAACCCATCTCTACTATAAATAGAAAGAAATTAATTGACCAAGTAATATATATGGAAAAAATTAGCCGGGCATGGTGACGCATGCCTGTAGTCCCAGCTACTCGGGAGGCTGAGGCAGGAGGATTGCTTGAGCCCAGGAGTTTGAGGTTGCTGTGAGCTAGGCTGACGCCACGACACTCACTCTAGCCTGGGCAACAAAGCGAGACTCTGTCTCATAAAAAAATAAAGAAAAAAAAGAAAGAAAGTCGGAGTGTGATAGTGAAGGACTGAGAAGAGAGGGAAGAACAAAATGCTGCAAATCGATACCAATGTGCTCATGTGTTAGAGCCTAGAGTAGCTAGAGCTATGTGTCTACTTTATTGCATAAGCCGAGACAGAATGCAGACACACAGCCTTCAGAAGGAAAGGAGAGTATTTTGTGGACCATTTTGGTCTTTTTTTTGGTGTGGCAGTTTTAGCTTACTAATTTTTAAAATCAGTACTTTTTTTTTTTTTTGAGACAGAGTCTTGCTCTGTTGCCTGGGCTAGAGTGCAGTGGCATCGTCATAGCTCACCGCAGCCTCCAACTCCTGGGCTCAAGTGATCCTCCTTCTTCAGTCCCCCAAGTAGCTGAGACTACAGGGGTGCACCACTATGACTGGCTAAATTTAAAAAAAAATTTTTCTAGAGACAGGGTCTTGCTGTGTTGCCCAGGCTGGTCTTTAACTCCTGGGCTCAAGAGATCCTCTGGCCTTGGCTTCCTAAAGTGCTAGGATTACCTGGTTTATACATTGTTAATTGTCCCTAATTGAACTTATTTTTTAAATGCTTTAATATTTGCCGTTAATAGCTGCTGATCTTAAATCCACACTCTAGTTTTATCAATTTTGAAAAGTGGCAAAAACTAGAAAAATATCAGTATTCAAGGACAATTAATAGCTATGTCTATGGACTTAATTTCTGACCCTGGGGGTTGGCTGAGTGGGGGTGGAAGATGCAGGGGAGGGGAGAAGCTTTTATTTTCAGAATAGTTTCTGGGGAAAAGAAAAGAAAAATAAGAGAAGTCTTTTATTCAACTTATTGAACATAACCTATTATAATGTGAAAACTTGCCTAATGCATTTCATTTGAAACTAAATTGAATTTGATCTGATTCCTAGTAACTTGCAGTGTGAAAGTAGGCCCAGACTCAGCTCCATCCCTTCCATCTACCCATCCATCCAGCTATACACCCACCCATCTTTCCATCATAGCCAAGAACAATAATTACAGAGTATTTACTATATGCCACATACTGTTCTAAATGCTTTACATTCATTATCGCAAATTATCTTCCCAAGCATGCTATGAGGTAAGTGGAATCATTATCCCTACGTTAAAATGGAATCTGAGGGTTTCTCAATGAGTTAAACATAGAATTACTATATATCCCAGCAATTCCACTCATAGGTATATGCCCCAAAGAACTGAAAACAGATATTCAAACAAAAACTTGTACAGGGATGTTCATTGAAGCACATTCACAATGGCCATAAGGTAGAACCAACCCAAATGTCCATCAACAGATGAATGGATAAACAAAATGTAGAATATCTATGCAACCCAGTATTACTGAGCCATGAAAAGGAAGGAAATTGTCACCCTTGTTATAACATGGATGAACCTTGAAAACACTGCATGAAACATGCCAGGCACAAAAGGCCACATGTTGTATGACACACACATATATATATATTGTATGATTCCATTTCTATGAAATATCCAGAACAGGTAAATCCACAGAGACAGAAACCAGACTGGTGGTTGCCAGGGGATGGGGTGAAGGGGAATGGGGATTTTTTTTTTTTTTTTTTAGATGGAGTCTCACTTTGTTGCCCAGGCTAGAGTGAGTGCTGTGGCATCAGCCTAGCTCACAGCAACCTTAACCTCCTGGGCTCAAGCGATCCTTCTACCTCAGCCTCCCGAGTAGCTGGGACGACAGGCATGTGCCACCATGCCTGGCTAATGTGTTTTTTTTTGTATATATATTTTTAGTTGGTCAATTAATTTCTTTCTATTTTTAGTAGAGACAGAGTCTCACTCAGGCTGGTTTCGAACTCCTGACCTCGAGCAATCCGCCCGCCTCAGCCTCCTAGAGTGCTAGGATTACAGGCATGAGCCACCACGCCTGGCAGGGAATGGGGATTAACTGCTTAATGGGTATAGGGTTTTGTTTGTGGTGACAAAAAACCTTTTGGAACTAGATAGTGGTGTTGGTTGCACAACATTGTAAATGTACTCAATGCCACTAAATTGTACACTTTAAATGGTTTAAATGGTAAATTTTATGTGTATTTGACCACAATTTAGGAAATACATAATTTGAGGCTTGGAAAACTTAAGTGACTTACCTGAGGTTGCCTTACAGCTGCTATGTGGTAGAGCTATGTTCTTATCCCAGTCATCTGGCCCCACGGCTCATGCTTTTTAAAAGAGTTACAGTGAAAACTTTATTTGGGGCCGTTTAGGAGGTTTAGACCATTTTGATCATCTTCAGCTGCATTCCATTAACACACAGGAAAGAGCTTGGAAACCAACAGTTGTGCCAGACATCGCAGGGAAGAGCCATGGCCTGGAGACCATAGAGTCACCTGTTCCCTGGCATTCCTGTCCCTCTCAGGTGGAGGGAGGACCCAGGACAATGGCTGCTGCTCATGATTTGGAGATGGAGGGTGTGAATCTGAATATGGGGAGAGAGATGAAAGAAGAGCTGGAGGAAGAGGAGAAAACGAGAGAGGACGGGGGAGGTAGAGGCCCTGCCAAGAATAAAAAGGTCCACAGGATTGTCTCAAAATGGATGCTTCCTGAAAAGAGCCGAGTAACATACTTGGAAAGAGCTAACTGCTTCCCCCCGCCGGTGTTCATCATCTCCATCAGCCTGGCCGAGGTGAGTATGGGTGGTGGTGACACTGGTGTGTGTAGCACCGAGGGGTTGCAAATAAACAGAGGGGTAGAGCCAGGTCTAGAGAAGAGACTGGGAGCATGTAAGAAGACAGCTCGGTAGGGTCGGGGCGGCCACACCAACTACCACCTCAGCCCTCTCCAGCGCTGCCTTCACAGGCCTTTCTCGTGCCCCTGGTCACTCTCAACGAGGGGATGAGTTTCATTTGTCAGACAAATCCCCTGCCCAGCACTGGCTGCAATTTCAGTGGCTTCCTTTCATTTTAGCTGCTGGGGTCTTTAGAAGCCAAATAATCTTGAGGTTGCAAATGGGCTTTTTCTCAGGAAACAACTTAGATTGGTTCGTAAGGTCTGTTTGGGGCCATATGTTGAGAAAAGTTAAAGGCTGCCTCAGAATTTCAGTATGAAAAAAGGGGATCCACTAACGATGCCTGCTTTGAGCAGCATGTGTGTGTTCTCAGACTTTTATCTCCTCAGCTCTCCCGAAAAGAATGCAGGGCTCTGAGAGGTGGGGTCACTTGCCCAAGGTCACATCTTGGTGACTGGGCCAGGCCTAGGCTCTGCCTGACCTTCATGACACCCAGCCTTTTCTCTCACACCCGGTATCTCACAAAGCGACTGGCCGTATCTCACAAAACGACTGGCCGAGCATGGCTGCCTGTGCGGTGTGACTCCGGGACACTGGGAAGTCCCTAATGTAACCCTCTTAATTCCCACTGATGCCTCAGCTTCCTTATCAGGGACTGAGTTAGTCAGGGTTCTCCAGAAAAACAGAACAATAGGGTGTTTGTGTGTGTGTGGGGGGGGAAGAGATATATATAGAGAGAGATAGAAAGAGAGAGATAGAGAGAGACAGAGAGAGATTGGGATTTATTTTGAGGAACTGGTTCAAACAATCATGGAGGCTTGGCAAGTTCAAGATCTGTAGGGCAGAGGCTGGAGGCCCAGGACAGAGTTGCAGTTTGAGCCTGAAAGTGTTCTGCTGGCAGAATTCCCTTTTCCTTTTTTTCCTTCTTTTTTGGCTATGTCTGTGGAACAGAATTCCCTTTTCCTAATGGAGGACAGTCTTTTTTCTAGTCAGGCCTCCAACTGATTAGATGAGGCTCACCCATATTATGGAGGAAATCTTCTTTACTCAAGTCTGCTGATTTAAATATCAATCTCATGTAAAAAACACCCTCACAGAAACATCTGGAATAATGTTTGAGCAAGTATCTGGGTACCACAGCCTAGCTAAGTCGACATATAACATTAACCGTCGTGAGGAATGAGCCTCTTATGGCTCAGGTAAGAGGTGTGAGCCTCCCAGGAGACACTTTTGTCAAGGCTATTTTGGGAGAAGAAACATAGTTCTAAGTTTTCTCAAGGGATTTTGTTGTGGGACTGTCTGCAACTGAGAAGTCATCAGGATCTTTCTTCTTCTCCCTCATATCCTTCCAGCCTGTGGCTTGTCTGGTGTGCTCGTGTTCCAGTCAACAGTGTGTGTGGCAGTGGTGGGGGTGCGTTGGAGAAGAACAGGATAAGGTCCCCTGGTACAAACCACAACTGCCCAGACACTGTGTACTATGGAGAGGACAGTTTTTCATAGAAAGGGTCATGGCGCAGGTGCTGAGATATGTGCCTCTCACAGAAAGACCAATTTATTTATTACATTTTTCTTTCTTTTTTTATTGAGACAGAGTCACACTCTGTTGCCCTGGCTAGAGTGAGTGCTGTGGCATCAGCCTAGCTCACAGCAACCTCAAACTCCTGGGCTCAAGTAATCCTTCTGCCTCAGCCTCCCAAGTAGCTGGGGCTACAGGCATGTGCCACCACACCTGGCTAATTTTTTCTATATATTTTTAGTTGGCCAATTAATTTCTTTCTATTTTTAGTAGAGACGGGGTCTCGCTCTTGGTCAGGCTGGTTTTGAACTCCTGACCTCGAGCAATCTGCCTGCCTCGGCCTCCCAGAGTGCTAGGATTACAGGCGTGAGCCACCTCGCCTGGCTTAGCCCATTTTTCTTAAGTAAACTTTTTATTTTGGAATAATTTTAGCATCGTAGAAAAGTTGTAAAGATAATATAGCGAATTCCTGTACACCGCTCACCCAATTTCTCCCATTGTTTGTATTGTACATTTCCACAGTTGGCATATTAGTACTAAGTAAACTCCAGACTTTATCTGGAGTTTACCAGTTTCTCCATTCATGTCCTCTGCTGCCCTCCACTGCAGGGTATTACACTGCACTTAGCTGTCAAGTTGCCCAGGCTCCTCTGATCTGTGACAGTTTCTCAGGCTTCCTTTTCCATGACTCTGATAGTCTTGAGGAGGACTGGCCAGGTATCCCTTAGACTGTCCGCCTGGTCTGGGTTTGTCTGATGCTTTTCTCATGACCAGACTGGAGTTATGGGTTTGGAGGAAAAATAGCACAGAGGTGCAGTGCCCTTCCCATCACGCTATTTCAGGGAGTAGAGGACATCGCATGACATCACTGGGGCATTCCCCTTCATCACTTGGTCAAGGCAGTGTTTGCCAGGTCTGTCCACTGTCAAGTTGCTACTTTTCCCTTTTCCTATGCACTTTTTGTTTTTGGAGACAGAGTCTCGCTCTGTTGCCCGGGCTAGAGTGCTGAGGCGTCAGCCTAGCTCACAGCAACCTCAAACTCCTGGGCTCAAGCGATCCTTCTGCCTCAGCCTCCCGAGTAGCTGGGACTACAGGCATGTGCCACCATGCCCAGCTAATTGTTTTCTATATATTTTTAGTTCTGCTAATTTCTTTCAATTTTTAGTAGAGATGGGGGGGGGTCTCACTCTTGCTCAGGCTGGTCTCGAACTCCTGACCTTAAATGATCTTCCTGCCTCGGCCTTCCAGAGTGCTAGGATTACTGGTGTGAACAACCGCGCCTGGCCTCCTACACACTCTTTAGAAGCAGCACTGACTTCCTTTCATACTAAGTTGTAAATGAAAGATCATACAGTGGGGGTGGGCAGGCGAGGGCAGCGGGTGTTTAAGAGGGTGGTAGAGAAAGAACACGGTGTCAGAGAGTAGGGTGCCTAAGAGCAGGGGAGAGGCTTCAGAGAGAGTCTTCTTTACACTGGGGCCAGCACTGCTCTTCACCACTGGGCGAAGTAGGACATGACCACAGTGGGGGACAGGACCACAGCAGGGATGGCAGAGAAATTTCATTCTTGTCATCTTCTTAGCCCATGCTATGGTGGGAGCCACTTGAGAGTGTGAGCATTTGGAATGAAGTTACTGCCCTGGGGGGTTTAATGGGGCCACTCTCTGGAGAAGGCGAGGCTAACACTTACATGTGCCCCTCTGTGTCAGCTGGCCGTGTTTATTTACTATGCGGTGTGGAAGCCTCAGAAGCAGTGGATCACCCTGGACACGGGCATCTTGGAGAGTCCCTTCATCTACTGTCCCGAGAAGCGGGAGGAAGTCTGGAGGTTCATCTCGTACATGCTGGTACATGCTGGGTAAGGAATGACAGTCAAGTCGCTGATGTCAGAGGTGATTATGAGTCATTGTAACCTCTAACTTGGTCAGTGCTTTATTATTCATCAGGCACTTTCATGCCCATAATCATGTTTGAGACTCGCAGCAACTCTACGAGGCTGGTATTACTCCTGCTGTTTTATGTCTGAGGCTTAGAGGATGTGGTCACTTGCCCCAAGTCACACAGCAAAGTTGCAGAGCTAGGACCTCAATCCATTAGTGCAAACTCTAAGGCCAGTGCACTTTATATTGCATTATAACTGCCTAATGTTGGTATTTATATAGAAATATTAATGAGAAGAGACCAAATCATCGCCAAAACAAAAGTATGTTTCACTAATTACCTGATGTTGTTAAATGTTCCCTTTAGGGTATGAAATGATGGAGCTGAATCACCAGTTCCCTTCCCCTCCACCACACACTTAAAACAAATTAATTCATGGACATATTGATGAGTAGGTAATACTGTTATCCATCTGGAACAATACTGCCAATAGCAGATGCAGTGCCTGCGTTTTAATTGTGCTTATAGTTTTTAAAATGCTGATAATAGCCTGCCTGCCTGCCTTCCTTCCTTCCTTCCTTCCTTCCTGCCTTCCTGCCTGCCTGCCTGCCTGCCTGACAGGGTCTTGCTCTGTTGCCCAGGCTGGTGTACAGTGGCGTCATCATATCTCACTGTAACCTCCAGCTCCTGGGCTCAAGCGACCCTCCTGCCTCAGCCTTCTGGGTATCTGGGAACACAGGTCCCCTTCTCCCTCAGACTTCTGAGTATCTGGGACTATGCGCCACCTTGCCTGGCTAATTTTTCTGTTTTGCTTTTTTTTTGTAGAGATGGGGTCTCGCTCTTGCTCAGGCTGGTCTCAAACTCCTGACCTCAAGCGATCCTCCCACCTTGGCCTCCCAGAGTGCTAAGATTACAGGTGTGAGCTACTGCCCCCAGCCTAAAATGCTGATGGCCTTTCATAACTTCACTTAGCATCTGTGATCCATCATGCCTACTGCAGGTAGTGAGAAGCTTACCGCTGGCACCACCTCTCTGGTGGACTCCTGTGCTTTCAGGTGAGGCCAATCTTGTCTGCATAATGTACTCAGCTGTAGACTTGAAAGGATGACTCTGTTGGCCAATGGCTAAACAGCATCCACAGCAGGACACATGGCTCAGAGGCTTGACAAGTCAGGGACAAAATCACCAAGTAATTGTTCAGTTTCTATAGAAACTTCCACACTTTGGTTTTCCACTTATGTTCTGAGCAAACATGGCTCCTGCATACAAAGACTTTAAAATTATAAGGAGGAATAGTCAGTTAAACAGTAATGTAAGGCAATATAGTATTATAGTATACATTAGTTACTTAACCTCTTTGTGCCTCAGTTTCCTCATCTATAAAATGGAGTAATAAAACCCATCTCGTAAAGTTGTTGTGATTAAATTAGACTATGATTTTTCACGGTGCCTGACACATAGTAAGGCACTGAAAAAGAATTTGCTAGGCTGTGTATGACATGTTACCTCTGGGGTATTATGTAAGTTAGAAATGCTCTTGGATGCAAGAAACAAAAACATCTAACAAGGGTTTAAATGAATGGAGGTTATTTATTTTCCCATATAGCAATCCCAGAAGTAGGTGGTTGGTGCATCAATTTAATGAATCCAGAGCTCTTGGTCCTGTGCTGGCACCTCTGCTGTTCCCATGGCCTTTCTCTCATGGCTGCAAGGTGGCTGCTGTAACTCCGCATTCAAAGCAAAAAGAAGGGGAAGGGTTGTCCTGGGTACTGGTACATCCATCCCTTTGTCAAGACAGAAGCTCTTTTATAAGACTCCTAACAGTGTTTGTTCTTACTTGCATCTCATTGTCCAGAACCTTGTGCCATGGCTACCCCTGGCTCAGAGAGGTCAGGAAAGCCAACATTAGCCCTCCCAGCCTCACTAGAGGATGGAGACAAGGGATAAGAGAAACAGGTGCTGGAGAAGCTACAGTGATATAGACAGAAGGAGGGAAAGAGCAGAGTGTGGATAGAGTCATGGACGACATAGATTCAAGTTGGACCTTGAAGGGTGGATAAAATTTAGATGCAAACAATTAGTATTTCTATTTTCGGTATATGACAGGATGTCATTTTTGTGCCACTTCTAGTCTTGCTCTTGCACAGCAGGAAGGATGTGTGGGGTGATTCTTTGGGTTTTTGTAGTACTGGTCACCTAGTCCTCAAAGTGTTCTCAGAGAACAGAACGGCTTTCTTGGTCCTTCTCATTTAAATTCAGGAGCAGGTATTTTTTCTTCTTTTCTTTTTTTTTTTGAGACAGAGTCTCGCTTTGTTGCCCAGGCTAGAGTGAGCGCCGTGGCGTCGGCCTAGCTCACAGCAACCTCAATCTCCTGGGCTCAGGCAATCCTCCTGCCTCAGCCTCCCGAGTAGCTGGGACTACAGGCATGCGCTACTATGCTCGGCTAATTTTTCTCTCTATATATATTAGTTGGCCAATTAAATTCTTTCTATTTATAGTAGAGATGGGGTCTTGCTCTTGCTCAGGCTGGTTTCGAACTCCTGACCTTGAGCAATCCGCCCGCCTCAGCCTCCCAGAGTGCTAGGATTACAGGCATGAGCCAAGGAGCAGGTATTTCTAATACCCTTTATGTCTGAGGTCTCAAAAAAACTAGTGTAACTGTCCTTACTAGACTACTCTGTGCTGAATTACATATTACCTCTTATATGTCTTTGAAGCTGGCTTGGACAGCGATAGTCATGGATGGGTGTGCACATGACCTTAAAGGCAAGGAATCTGTTCTGCAGGCTATGCCCAGAGACCTCTTCCAGGATCTGCTGGATATTTGTTAAGTCAATGATAATGCAAAAACACAGTCCCTAAAACTAATACGAAAGCTGCGGCATTGTGGAAGATCCAAAACCTATTTTGTTTTTGAACTTTCTGGTTTAAAAAACTGAAATCTTCTTTTTTAAAAAAATAAAGCATTATGCTACATAGCAATTAAATTATGGATTACTCTAATGTGGGAATTTTTCAAATTATGTTCAAAGATTCTCCAGAGATGCTTGTGGAGTTTGACAAGCAAGATAATATGAATTTCATTTAAAATTTAAAATTTAAGGCTAGGTGTGGCGGCTCACGCCTGTAATCCTAGCACTCTGGAAGGCCAAGGTGGGAGGATCGCTTGAGCTCAGGAGTTAAAGACCAGCCTGAGCAAGAGGGAAACCCCATCTCTACTGTTCTGCACACTATGTCCAGAGGACCTCTTCCAGGATCTGCTGGATATTTGTTAAATAAATGATAATGCAAAAACATAATCCCTAAGACTGATACGAAAGCTGCGGCACTGTACAGTGCCAGGTACAGTGGCGTGCACCTGTAGTCCCAGCTACTTGGGAGGCTGAGGCAGGAGGATTGCTTGAGCCCAGGAGTTTGAGGTTGCTGCGAGCTAGGCTGATGCCATGGCACTCTAGCCCGGGTGACAGAGCAAGACTCTATCTCAAAAGAAAAAAGAAATTTTAAAGTTAAAAACTGTAATTAAAAACACTTTTACTCAAATATGTTATATGCCAAATTGTAGTTCATGGGAGATACCAACTTTAGTTGGTGTTACTAGGTACACTTTTTAACATAGAACTGGGAATTAAGTTTCTCTTGTTATCTCTGTTTTATTAAAGAACATCCTGAGTTTTGCATGGCAGGATGTTGAGAAAACCTATTGAAATTTAAATTCAATATCAGTGAATTAGAATTTTTTCAAAATTGTGCAATGGAAACAAAATCAGATGCTGAAGCTGACATAAGATGGTAATTTTCCTCCAAACTCCCTAATTTCAAGTTGATGTTCCTTAAACCTGCCTCATTGATCTGTTTGATGTTATAAGCAATTGTTATATTCTTTGTAGAATAAAATAAGTTAAATAAATTTATACTTTTATTTCATTTTTTTTCATGAGTCAAGGAGTAAAATTTATACTTCTAAATTGCCCTTTTATCTGTTTTAAATATTGAAGCCTCAGGCAAGATTTTATTTAAAAAAAGAAAAAAGAGTTCCTTGCTACAAGACTTTGGAAAAGGGAATTCTAGTTAAGCAAGTCCTTAACTAGAAACAACACATCGGAGCTTGTTAGTCGACCAAGGAAATAACTGCTTGGTTTAGTCATAATGTTTGACAACTGTGTTTGTCTCTGCAGAGTTCAGCACATCGTGGGGAATCTTGCTATGCAGCTCGTTTTGGGTATTCCCTTGGAAATGGTCCACAAAGGCCTCCGAGTGGGGCTGGTGTATCTGGCAGGAGTAATTGCAGGTTAGTGTTCCGAAGGCAACACAGAATCAATACTTCTGGGCTCTTAGAATAAAAAGTAAAGGTAACAAACATTTATAATGGGCTTCAAGTCGAGATTTATTGCAATCTCTTTTTTTTTTTTTTTCAGAGACAGGGTCTCACTCTGTCACCCAGGCTGGATGGAGTGCAGTGGTGTCATCACAGCTCACTTGAACTCCTGGGCTCAAGTGAACTTCCTGCCTTAGCTTCTCTGGTAGCTAGGACTACAGGTGCACACCACCGTACCTGGCTAATTTTTGGGAACAGATCTTTTATTTTTTTGAGACAGAGTCTCACTTTGTTGCCCAGGCTAGAGTGAGTGCCATGGCATCAGCCTAGCTCACAGCAACCTCAATCTCCTGGGCTCAAGCGATCCTACTGCCTCAGCCTCCCGAGTAGCTGGGACTACAGGCATGCGCCACCATGCCTGGCTAATTTTTTGTATATATATTTTTAGTTGATCAATTAATTTATTTCTATTTTTAGTAGAGACAGGGTCTCGCTCAGGCTGGTTTCAAACTCCTGACCTTGAGTAATCCGCACGTCTCAGCCTCCCAGAGTGCTAGGATTACAGACGTGAGCCACCACGCCCAGCCGGGATGCCTGGCTAATTTTTTAAAAAAGTATTTTGTAGAGATGAGTATGCTACATTGGCCAGGCTGGTCTTGAACTTGTGACCTCAAGTGATCATCCTGCCTCAGCCTCCCAAAGTGCTGGGAATATAGGCATGAGCCACCATGCCTGGCCTTTTGCACTCCTACTATGTGCTTGGGAACACTCTAAGCATTAGGCATAATTTAATTAGAGATAACATAAGCACATGAAGACAAGACATTATGCCTATTCTCAGGTATGTTACACTCAGAAAGGATTTTGCACAGAAACTGTAAGTAGTTCAATGTACAGATACATATATTGGGTAAAGGACTAAAGCTAGATCATGAAAGCCCTTATGTGTGAGACTAATAATTTTGAGAAGTAGCATGATCGATTGCATGTAATGAAGACAACTTTAAATGAATGTAGAGAATAAAGAGGCTCAAAGACTGAGTGGGGATTAGCATCATATGGCAATGATCTCTAAAACTGGGTGTGCCTAAAATGATCCATTATGATGTGGGAAGAAAACATTAGAACTCCCATCCATCTGTTTGTTCATTTATTGGAAAATTTTTTTTTTTTTTTTTGAGACAGAGTCTCGCTTGTTGCCCAGGCTATAGTGAGTGCCATGGCGTCAGCCTAGCTCACATCAACCTCAAACTCCTGGGCTCAAGTAATCCTTCTGCCTCAGCCTCCCGAGTAGCTGGGACTACAGGCATGTGCCACCATGCCCGGCTAATTTATATATATATATATATTAGTTGGCCAATTAATTTCTTTCATTTATAGTAGAGACGGGTCTCGCTTTGCTCAGGCTGGTTTTGAACTCCTGACCTCGATGCAATCGCCGCTCTCGCTCCCAGGAGTGCTAGGATTACAGGCGTGAGCCACCGCGCCCGGCATATTGGAAAATTTTTTTTAAAAATTAAACATTTTGGCCGGGAGAGATGGCTCACACCTGTAATCCCAGCACTTTGGGAGGCAGGAGGATTGTTTGAGGCCAGGAGTTTGAGACCAGCCTGGGCAATAGCAAGATCCCGTCTCTACAAAAAATAAAAAATTAGCTGGGCATGGGGGCATGTGTTTGTAGTCTCAGCTACACGGGAGGCTGAGGCAAGAGGATTGCTTGAACCCAGGAGTTTGAGGTTGCAGTGAACTATGGTGATGCTGCTGCACTCTAGCCCAGGCAATAGAGTGAGACCGTGTCTCAGAAAAAATTTAAACTTTTTGTTTTGAGATAATTGTAGATTTACATGCAGTTATTAGAAATAATGGCTATACATTCCATGTGCTTTTTAACCAGTTACCCCTAGTGGGTAACATCTTGCAAAACTTTAGTACAGTAGTACAACTAGGATATCCACATTGATACAGTCAAGGTACAAAAACATTTTCAACACTACAAGGATCTCTCATGTTGCCTTGTTATAGCTATAACCTCTTCTCTCCCACTCTCCCACTCTCCTTTACTCCTGGCAACAACTAATCTGCTCTCCATTTCTATAATGTTGCCATTTCAAGAATATTATATCAGTGGAATAATCTAGTATACAGCCTTGTGAGATTGATTTTCTTCACTCAGTATGTTTCTAGAGATTCATCGAGGTTGTTGCATGTATCAATAGTTCATTTCTTTTTATTGCTGAGTAGTATTCCATAAAATGGATGTACCATTGCTTGTTTAATCATTCACTCATTGAAGGACATCTTCAGTTATTTCTGATATTCTCATCCTGGTCTTGTTATAATTTTCATTTCCCATGGCTAATGATGTTGAGCATCTTTTTTTGGGGGGGGGCAGTGGAGGGACATTCTGAGATGCAATGTTGATATCTTTTTATGTGTTTATTTGCCATTTATCTTCTTTAGTGAAATGTCTGTTCATGTTTTTTGCTCATTTTCTAACTGGATGGTTTTTTTTTTTTTGCTATTGATTTTTGAGAGCTATTTATATGTTTTAGACACTATCCTTTAATTGAATATGTAGTTTATAAATATTTTCACCTAGTCTATATAGCTTGTCTTTTCATCCTCTTAACAGGCTTTCACAGAGCACAAAATTTCAGTTTTGATGAAGTCCTTTTATCAATTTTTTTCTTTTATGAATTATGCTCTTGGGGTTATGTCTAAAAACAAGTCCTGACGATTTTCTCCTATATTATGTTCTAAAAGTTAAGGCTTTGTGCTTTACATTTAAATATATGATGCATTTTAAGTAAGTTAATTTTTGTGTAACGTATAAAATTCAGATTGAGGTTCTGTTTGCTTGTTTGGCCTATGAATATTAAGTTATGCCAGAACAACTTTTTGAAAAGACTGTTCTTCCTTCATTGAACTGCTTTTACACCTTTGTCAAAAATCATTTGCTTGTAGCTTTGTGTGGGGTATTTGGGGTTCTTTTTACTCCATTGATCCTTCTATCATACTGCATAGTCTCGGTTACTGTAGCTACATAGTAATTCTTGAATCAGTTAGAGTGATTCTCACACTTTATGTTTCATTTTCAAATTGTTTTAGTTCTCTAATTCCTTTGCCTTTCCATACATAAATTTTATAATAATCCTGCTTGTATCTATAGAAATTCTTGCTGGGATTTTGACAGGAGTTGCTTTAAGCCTTTTCATCATTTGGGGAGAACTGACATCTTTACTATGTTGAATCTTTCAATCCATGAATACAGTATGTCTTTTATTTAGATCTCCTAAATGGGACTGTGTTTTAAATTTTAGTGTCCATGTGTTCATTGCTGGTATATAGAAACACAATTGGCCGGGCATGGTGGCTCATGCCTGTAATCTCAGCACTCTGGGAGGCCAACTCGGGAGGATAGCTCAAGGTCAGGAGTTCGAAACCAGACTGAGCAAGAGTGAGACCCCATCTCTACTAAAATTGAAAGAAATTAATTGGCAACTAAAAATATAATAGAAAAAATTAGCTGGGCACTGTGGCGCATGCCTGTAGTCCTAGCTACTTGGGAGGGTGAGGCAGAAGGATTGCTTGAGCCCAGGAGTTTGAGGTTGCTGTGAGCTAGGCTGACGCCAGGCACTCTACCCGGCAACAGAGTAGACTCTGTCTAAAAAAAAAAAAGAAACACAATTTTTTTTGTTTTCTTTTAGACATGGGATCTTACTATGTTGCCCAGGCCACACTCAAACTCCTGGGCTCAAGTGATCCTCCTGCCTCAGCCTCTTAAGTAGCTGGGATCATAGGTATGCACCACCAGACTGGTTGATTTTTATACGATGATCTTATATCTTGCAACTTTGCTGAACTCACTTATTAGGGTCCTAAGCTTGTTTTTTTGTTTGTTTGTTTTTTTTTGGGGGGTTGTTTATTTTGTCTTAGATTCCTTGGTATTTACCATGTCATCAGCAAACCATCACATCAACTACAAATAGAGACAGTTTTATTTCTTCTTTTCCAATCTGCATTTTGTTTCCTTTTCTTGCCTTCTTGTGCTGGCTAGCACATCCACACTATGTTGAATAAGACTGGGCAGAACAGATATCCTTGCCTTGTTCCTGATCTTAGGCAGAAAGCAATTAGTTTTTCACCACTATGTATAATGTTAGCTGCAGGTTTTTTATAGCTGCTTTTAATCAATTCATTTATATCTAAAAAATGAGCAAGAAATCAATCAGAACTAATGTATAATACACAGATTGACATAGGGCCCTCTTTGGTCTTTATGTGTCACTTAAATATGTGCAGTTTCCTGGGGGTGGGGTGGGAGTTCCACAACACACAGGA